TTATTGTAATAAAATAAATTCAATCTGTATATTTAAGTAATTAATAATTGATTGAAAATCAGTTAATAATCAATTCAGTGTAAATTATATAAACACTTACTTTATTATTAAATTCAAGAATAATTTCAGTATTAAATTAATTTTAAATTGATTTTAAATTGATTGTAGAATTGATGATAAATAATTAAGAAAGAAAAAGTGATTTTAAATTACAAGAAAAGATGTATTGAATAAGATCAGATAGTAATACAGATCACATTTATAAGATTAACTTATATAATGAGATCAAGTAATGCACTTAGTGATAGACTGATCAGTGAGATCATGAATTTCACATTTGATCTCATTTGATCTGATCTTATACATTTCTTGACATGAGTCCCACCAGAATCAAGCCTTAAAAAAATCTGAAAATGAATCATTTCTGAGAGAAATGATATGAAAAATGACCAGATTTAATTCAAGAACAGTGAAATGAAAGTAATTTCACAGAATAAACTGTGAAAGATGATTATTCTTTCAAAATCAGAATGAGACTGAGACTGAAGATTAAAATCAGTCTCATTCAGTTCATTCAGTGATTACTTATATAATCAGAATTTGATAACAATTATTGATAACATTCATGAAATAACTAAATATATTCTTGTGTAAGTTTATTCTTCACTTTCTCATAAAAACTACACTTCTCTGATATACTGTGATCAGAGGTATTAAACTGTCTGATAATTTCATGTTTTATAATTATAAGTTTCTTAATTATTTCTTCTTGTAATTGTCTCTGATAATAGTAATAAATATCTCAACTTGAGTTGAACTTTCACTTCATTTTCATCTCTGTCAATGAAATTGTCAGAATATCACACATCATCAGTGTAACAGTTAAATATGTACTCTTAACAATTTTTTATAACTCTAGAATTAATTTAGCATGTAAATTCATCAGATTATCTTGAAGATAGTGATCAAATTCAGTTTTATAAGTATGTAGTTTTGCCTGATTTTCAGTTATAATCAATGTATGTAAGTTCTGTTTCAAAGTTAGTATTATAGTTCTATAAGATATGAAGTGTTATCAAAGATTGTTACTTACTAGAGAATTATATTTCACTGTCTTCACATCTTAAACATCTACTCATTCAAATCTCTGATAGTTGGCATTATAGTAGTCTTGAGCTAATTTGATATATAAGTCTTATTCCTTCTCTGTTCAATCTTGACAAGTGTAGATATTAACTTAATAAGAGAGATCTAGTAGAGCTGCTATAGCATAGTACTCTGTAAAAGATTGTTCAGTTTTACTGTAGTAATATGCCAGTTTATTTGCGGAGCGAAGCGAAGCAAATATATGATGAAAACCCTGATCATTAAAAGTGAAGAATTTCCTTTTTAAGGTTCTTGGCGCGAATACAGCCCACTGATTGATGTAGAATTAAGCGAAGTGCAATCCCGTGACATTGTACTATTATATCATCTACTCTGTACAGATTCTTGAATAGATAATGCATCTGATCAATCATCTCTCATAGATTCTCAAGAATGAATAATGTGTCAAAAGCCTGTGTTCACTGCTTGCAAAATCAGTCTCTTGATTAATTCATTTCTTTACAGTGTTCTACTACTTCTACAGCTGTCTGTCTTCAATATCTAGACTGGCCGGCAGAACCATGAATTTCACATTTGATCTCATTTGGTCTGATCTCATACATTTCTTGACGTGAGTCTCACCAGAACCAAGCCTCAAAAAAATCTGAAAATGGACCATTTCTGAGAGAAATGATGTGAAAAATGATCAGATTTAATTCAAGAACAGTGAAATGAAAGTAATTTTCCAGAATAAACTGTGAAAGATGATTATTCTTTCAAAATCAGAATGAGACTGAGACTGAAGATCAAAATCAGTCTCATTCAGTTCATTCAGTGATTGCTTATATAATCAGAATTTGATAACAATTATTGATAACACTCATGAAACAATTAAATACATTCTTGTACAAGTTTATTCTTCACTTTCTCATGAAAACTACACTTCTCTGATATACTGTGATCAGAGATATTAAACTGTCTGATAATTCTATGTTTTACAATCATGAGTTTCTTGATTGTTTCTCCTTGTAATTATTCTCAGTAATAGTGATAAATATCTTAACTTGAGTTGAACTTTTACTTCATTCTCACCTCTGTCAATGAAATTGTCAGAATATCACACATCATCAGTGCAACAGTTGAATATATACTCTTAACAATTTTTCATAACTCTAGAATTGATTTGATGTGTAAATTTGTCAGATCATCTTGAAGATAGCAGTCAAATTCAGTTTTATAAGTATGTAGTTTTGTCTGATTTTCAGTTGCAATCAATGTATACAAGTTCTGTTTCAAAGTTAGTATTATAGTTCTATGTGATATGAAGTGTTATCAAAGATTGTTACTTACTAGAGAATTGTATTTCACTGTCTTCACATCTTGAACATCTGCTTATTCAAATCTCTGATAGTTGACATTATAGTAGTCTCAGGCTAATTTAACATATAAGTCTTATTCCTTCTCTATTCAATCTTGAGAAGTGTAGATGTTAACTTGATAAGAGGGATCTAGTAGAGCTGCTACAGCATAGTACTCTGTAAAAGATTGTTCTGTTTTGCTGTAGTAATATGTCAGTTTATTCCTTACAGTAATAATAGCCTGCACTATAGCATCATCTCAGACTGAATTTCTTTTTAAGTGATTCAACTGCTTCTCAAGATAAGTAAATAAACTGTTATACACTCATCAGACTGACTACAGCATTGATATACAAGTAATTGAGACTGTCTTTATTGTCTTATAAAACTGAAACAGTAAATCAATCACATATTTCAACTGAGTTCACTTTATATCAGAAAGTTTCAATATCTGAATCTTTTTCTGATCAGAGTATTACACTCAATGATCAATCATCTGATGCAATTGAAGAATCTGAATAGTCATCTCATATGTTGAACTTCACTGTGTTCTAACATTCTGTATCATATTCAGTGATGTAACTGATTTGTTTATTTATTGAATATCATGAAATCATTGTTATTGTTTAGAAGAGGTACAAATCACATTAGCAATGTTTTGAATCTATAATATTTAAATTATTAGTCAATCTATTCAAAATTAACAGTAGTGTTATCAAAAAGCATTATCAAAAAGTAATATCAAAAAGTGTTATCAAAAAACATTATCTTTTGCAAAGTGAATGCAAAAGTTACTTGAGTAATCACTTTCATCTCATTCTCATCCCAAGAATCAGCCATCTCATTATTCTTTGTCTCAATGTTAAGATTCTTTATCAGTGTTTGCATTACAAGTTGAATCACATGAGCAATGCAGAGAATATGACCTTATTTATCATTTCAGAAATACAAAGCCAATTTTTGCTCTAAGCTCTTCATTATAGTGTAGTTATTCACAGCATTATCAGTTATAATTGTAAGAAGACTGAGACTAATATCTCAATAGTCATTTTTAATCACAGTCATTAATATCTCTGCCATATAATTCTCAGTATGACTACTGATCAATGATTCAAATTCAATTAATGTCTCTCAATAAGTTCAGTTCTCATCAATGTAATAACATGTAACTCTCATAAATGCAAGATTGTTTGTACTAGTTCATGCATTCATTGTGAGAGACACTCTTTGATGATTCTTCAACTCTGATTCTAGATGTTGTATATTGACTTTGTAGTATGTCTCAAGATTGAACTGAAGACAGAATCAATGTGAAATATGAAGATTTGAATTAAGCATTTGAAGAAGTATTTGAAATTCAGAGTTTTCAATTGATTGAAGAGAAAGATTCAGAGATATACATATACAAAGTAATTGTTCACAGAAGTTATCAGATGAGAGTTGTGAAATCAGAGTACTAATACAGTGTCATTTTCACATGATTTTCTTCAAATTAGAAAGTTAGTATTATCAAAAATTGTTATCTGATAGAGTAACTTATCAGCTCAGTAGTAATTTTCTGATTATTTTTCTTTTATTATCTGCATTCTGATGACTTCAGATGTTGAAAAATTTCTTCAGAGTCATGATCAGTTCATGATGAATGTTTCTGAATGAAGTTGCAGTGATTGCAGCAAAGAGATGACTCTTCAGTAATCTGTAATACAATCTGTTGATAATTATTTCATAGTTCATCTCAATGTTTGTGTTGAGTTTTTCATAAATTTCATAGCCTGAAATTAGATGTGAAGAATGAAGTGATCATTCATCATAATTGAAAGAGAGTATTCTGTATTGAATTATAAATAATGTAGACTTTGTAATTCATAGTGATTTCTTAAAGAGTTTATGAATCTTCAATAGAAGTAAAAGAAGTGAAAGAAGTGAATTCAGAAGACATGATAATAATTTAAGAAAGATGATAATTTATTTTCAATAACTGATCACTGATATGTGTAAGAAGAATTAATATAAGAGAAAATAATCTTGTTTCTTAGCTTAGTTATAATTTTAATACTAACTCAGATTGAATATCATTGATATATAAAAGTAAACAAACAATCTTGATTAATCTCTGTCATATTTCTTGAAATATATTAATATTATGAAAGAGAGTGTTATCAAATTGCATTATCAGATAATATCATTAAAAATATATTAATATTGTGAATATCAATGTTGAAAAAATGTTGATACTTATACATTATAGTGATTTGTGAATCATGATAGTTAAATATATATATATATATATATCATTTCTGACTTGATTACAACTTGTACAATAATTTTTGAAAACTCAAAATCAATTTTAATTATTAATAATTAAAAACTTAAACTTATAACTAACTAATATAAAAAGAAAAAAATTTACTTCTTCTCTTTCTCATTCTTCTTATCATTCTTCATAATTTACTTCTCATTCTTCTTCTTCTTCTTCTTCTTCTTCTTCTCCTTCTTCTCATCTGAGATAATAATCATCTCAAAATCTCTCTTCACTGCCTTCTCAGAGAAGGGTTCTCACTGCTCTCTTTCAGCCAGGTCAACCTGTATCTCAAAATCCCGCATTTTCTGATCTGCTGCCTCAGGTTTCATCTCAGTGATAAGCAGATTGACATACTCAGAGAGCAGAGCTGTCTTCTCAATGTTCTGAATCATGAAGCATATTTGAGATCTGAACAAGGCCTCAATCCTCTCCTTCTCTGTCAGCTCCTGCTAATCAATTAGAGAATAGAAGTATTATCAAAAATTGTTATCTCTCAATAAAAAACTTATCAGTTTTGACTTCTTTGTCTTGTGCTTTAATATCTTCTCAATCTTCTTCTGTTATCACTTATTTACAGTAATACTCTTCTTCTTTCTCTCTCTCTTCATCTTGATCTTAAATCATTCTCAGAACTTCTCCTGGTCTCATCACTGCTATATAAGACTCTTCACTCTCTTCTTTTTCAATCTCTTATAAGCAGTGTCATCTGCATTATTTCTATACTTAGTTCAGTCTAAATCTATCAGAAGTGTTACTTAAAATTGTTATTATTCTACTCTCTTACAGAGTCTCTTCAAGGCATCATAATATGTCTTGCAATCTGTCTTCTCACACTTGAACACCTTCTTCTCCTCTCTCTTCAATCTGTGACAGCACTCACGCGCCTTGATGGTCCGCAGAATCACAGAATATTTGAAGAGGAATAACATGATTGGTTTTAATAAGTGTTGAGAGAAGATGAAGGCAGGCAATGATATAATAATGATAATGATGATAATGATGATAATAATAGTAATGATGATGATGATAATGATAATGATAATAATAATGATGATGATAATGATGATAATAATGATGATAATAATGATAATGATAATGATGATAATAATGATGAAAGAGAGAGTGCATTGAAATATATTATTGACTTATTAAATATAAAGAGACAAAGAAACTATTAACAGCTTTCAGAGATGTACAGAAATGACTACAGTGTTACATAGCAACATTATCTTCATTCAATGCATGCACTATTAATATTCTTTGTATACATTTATCATATAATCTATATCAGAAATACATCCAGAAAACAGATCTTTATTGCTAGAGAGAATGATTGCAGTGATTCTCTGTTTTCATATTATAAAGATAAGTTATTCTCATTTCTTTCTTCTCTCTTTTCTCTTCTTCTTCAATTCACTACTAAGTTCAAGCTGGTATGAAAACTATTAAAACACTCATAGAAACCCTCAAATTGAAGAGTATAAACTAATCAAATTTTAAATGCAGATGAACTAAAATAATTCAATAATACTAATTATTCATCTCTCTCTTAATAAAACAACAGTCATGTCTTCTCTTTCCTTCTCAAACAAAACATGGCTCATGAAAAGTGAGTATCATGTCAGGTCATAATGATCAACACAGCCCCAGCATGCAGAGCTGCATATATGCAGTGCATGCTGAACTGAGAGACTGTGTGAGTTACAAACTGATGACAGCATCTCAGAGAGAGTCATGCAGTGTGAGAAAGCTGCAACTCTTGATCACATGTGCAGAGAGTGAATTATCACAGTAAGTGCATGTACATTGCATGAAAGTAATACTTTTTGATAATACTCAGTCTCTGATATTATGAAAATAGAGTCTCTCTGTGAGATCTGTTTTTATCAGAAGTCAGAGAATCTTATATTTCTCAAGACCATCTTCACACATCTTATTCATGAAATCAATGAGAGAAATCATCAATTTCAGCATTTCATTCTTGATGTCATTCAAGTAACAGCAGAGTTCACTCTGATCACACTTTTTAAGTGTATGTTTTCTAATTATTCACATTTATACAGATATATACTGATTATTTGTTAGATAATATTAAGACAATGACTCATCACAGCTGTGTTACTCTCACTGTGAGAGATACACAGTTGATAATAAATATTGTAAAGACTCTGAGAAGTGAGTATTTTAGAAGTACTACAGCTCTGCAATCTTGATTTTTTTTATTTTTATTTTTTCTTTTTTTCTTTTCCTGTTCTTTTTTTTTTTTTTAATGTGATTTTTTCTTATATTTGTTTTGTTTTTTGTTTTTTGTTTTTTTTTGTATTTTATGTTTTTTTTATAATTAAAATTATATGAATTATGATCTGTGTTCAGAAAAGTAACAATATTTGATAACACTCTCTATTGAATTTTCAACAAATAAGCACTATGTTATGATATTATGTAAGTGAGAAGTGATTTCATAGTCTCATTTAATATCATTCTCAATAATGAGATCAGAATGAAAATGTGACTAAGAATTCAAACATATTCTTTATTCAGAACTAGATTTTTATTTGAAAAGTGAATCTGAAACCTTTAATATTTGAAATAACATGATTTGAAATCAATGTGATGAATACAAATCATGATCAGAAGTAATGCTTTTAGGCAACATGATAACTGTAAAGTTTGATTCTGGTCTCAGACACGGTCACACGGTCAGTCTATCAATATCACACTCAGAGAACTTAGATATTGTAATCTTCTCTCATTACATCTTTTCTATCACTGATTATCTCTTTACACTGTGTAGAACTGTAAATGAATATATATAGTGAAATCAGATTCTTCTACAGTGTCACGCCCCTGGCCGCGCCAAGGCCCCGCTGCGGTTTCACACAGCTCATCACTTCCATGCGGATGATTTCATTCATCCCGCAGGCTATTCAAACCGGTTTCCAACCACTCTATGACATCATTCAGATATATCATAGGAAGATCCGATTGATGAATATGAGAACCTCACTTAGCAGATTACTCTTCCTTGGTAATGAGGCGCCGCTGAGGTATCACTCCAGCTATTCTTGCTCATGAAATGAGAGAAGAGTATCCGCTCATTGTCTATATAGAATAGCTAGATACTGGCTCTTCATCAAAGAAGTCAGTGATTCATTTTTCTCCTACTGAAAGATATATGAGAGTTACTGTGTTTCTCATACAATCTTCTTAGTATACTAAGTATCATATCTGTGATATTCTCACAATAACTCTGTAGCCTATGAGCTTGCTATTTAAGCAAGATAGTCAAGCTCACTCATACAGCTTCTTAACAACTATCTCTACATAATACTGCTGACTAGTCACTGCTTCAGTTCTGTCATGTTACATACAGTTACAGATTCTATGATAAATGAGTCTGAACTCTCTCTATTATTCTAGATATATTAACACTTCATATAATCAATAGTAGTCTCTTAAGTCTGTGAACAGTCTATTGAAACAGATATATTATCAGAGATTAAGTTTTATCACTATGAGATTCATAGTTCTGATGTATCTTCATTGACAGTAGTCTGTAAAAAGAAAACTATTATTCAAAGAGCTTACTGTATTATCAGATGTTATAGAGAATATCTCTTATTAACTTTATTCTTAACTCAATTAAGAAAACAGCTGCAGTCATTATCTTTGATAATTAATTTATCTCTTAGTTCTGCAGATCTCTCTTCAGTCTTTCATCAATTATCTATATTATCATTTAACTCATTCTCAAGTCAACCTTATTTCACTTTACAGATATGCTTTTACTACAGTTACAGTTCTATCTCTTCTATTAATAAGCTGTAAAATCAATCTTGCAGAGTCTTCTGTTTTGAGCTTAGCTCTGCAATGTCTTTGTACACAGAGACTCATGTGTATTAAGATATTTTTTCTTACAGTAATAATAGCCTGCACTATAGCATTATCTCAGACTGAATTTCTTTTTAAGTGATTCAACTACTTCTTAAGATGAGTAAATAAACTGTTATACACTTATCAGACTGACTACAGTATTGATGTACAAGTGATTGAGACTGTCTTTGTTGTCTTATAAAACTGAAACAGTAAATCAATTACATATTTCAACTGAGTTCACTTCATATCAGAAAGTTTCAATATCTGAATCTTTGTCTGATCAGAGTATTACACTCAATGATTAATTGTCTGACACAATTGAAGAGTCTGAACAGTCATCTTATATATTGAACTTCACTGTGTTCTAACATTCTGTATCATATTCAGTGATGTGACTGATTTGTTTATTTATTGAATATTATGAAATTGTTGTTGTTGTTTAGAGAAGATACAAATTGTATTAGCAATGTTTCAAATCTGTGATATTTAAATTATTAGTCAATCTATTCAAAATTAACAGTAGCATTATCAAAAAGCATTATCAAAAAGCATTATTAAAAAGCAATATCAAAAAGTGTTATCAAAAAGTGTTATTAAAAAACATTATCTTTTGCAAAGTGAATGCAAAAGTTACTTGAGTAATCACTTTCATCTCATTCTCATTCTAAGAATCAGCTATCTCATTATTCTTTGTCTTGATGTTAAGATTCTTTATCAGTGTTTGCATCACAAGTTGAATCACATGAGCAATGCAGAGAATATGACCTTGTTTACTATTTCAGAAATGCAAAGCCAATTTTTACTTCAAGCTCTTCATCATAGTGTAGTTATTCACAGCATTATCAGTTATAATTATAAGAAGACTGAGACTAATATCTCAATAGTCATTTTTAATCACAGTTATTAATATCTCTACTATATAATTCTCAGTATGACTACTGATCAATGATTCAAATTCAATTAATGTCTCTTAATAAGTTCAGTGCTTATCAATGTAATAACATGTAACTCTTATAAATGCAAGATTGTTTGTACTAGTCTATACATTCACTGTGAGAGACACTCTTTGATGATTCTTCAACTCTGATTCTAGATATTGTATATTGACTTTGTAGTATATCTTGAGATTGGACTGAAGACAGAATTAATATGAAATATGAAGATTTGAATTAAGCATTTGAAGAAGTGTTCAGAATTCAGAGTTTTCAATTAATTGAAGAGAAAGATTCAGAGATATACATATATAAAGTAATTATTTATGAAAGTTATCAGATGAGAGTTGTGAAATCAGAGTACTGATATATAATCATTTTCACATGATTTTCTTCAAATTAGAAAGTTAGTGTTATTAAAAATTGTTATCTGATAGAGTAACTTATCAGCTCAGTAGTAATTTTCTGATTATTTTTCTTTTGTTATCTGCATTCTGATGACTTCAGATGTCAGGAAATTTCTTCAGAGTTATAATCAGTTTATAATAAATGTTTCTGAATGAAGTTACAGTGATTGTAGCAGAGAGATAACTCTTCAGTAATCTGCAATGCAATCTGTTGATAATTATTTCATAGTTCATCTCAATATTTGTGTTAAGTTTTTCATAAATTTCATGACCTGGAATCAGATGTGAAGAATGAAGTGATTATTCATCATGATTAAAAGAGAGCATTCTGTGTTAAATTGTAAATAATATAGACTTTATAATTCACAGTGATTTCTTGAAGAGTTTATGAAT